CCCTGGAGACCCAGAGCTTGACAGATACAATTTACCATTACAATCAGTATAAATGGACACCACTATGAAAACTATTAATGTTTTCAGATGTTCCCCATAGTTCCCAAGGCCTGTAGATCTGGGTTTCATTACCTGTGTCATCGCAGTTTCTTAGTTGTGCCAGAAAAAGATGGTTAACCTGTCTGTCTCAGTTTTGTTATCTGTAGCATGGAGATATTAGGGGAATGCACACTTCACAAATTATTATTATTAATTATTTTTGGCATTGGAGATTGAACCCAAGGATGCTTTACCGCTGAGCTACATCCCCAGTCCCCTCTTATTTTTTTTTTTGGGGGGGGCGGGGTGTCGCTAAGTTGCTGAGGCTGGCCTTAAACTTAAGATCCTCCTGCCTTTGTCTCCCAAGTTGCTGGGATTACAGGTGTGTGCCATTGTCCCTGGCTCAGAGAATTCTTGAAAAGGATTTGGTGTGATGATGTCTGTACAGTGCTTCGCCTAGTGCGCAACTGAGAGGTTGCAGTAAGTTGTCACCATTTTTTTTTCTTTCTTTTTTTTTTGGTGCTGGGGATTGAACCCGGGGCCTTGGACTTACAAAATAAGCCCTCTACCAACTGAGCTATACTTCCAGCCCCGGTTGTCAACATTTTTATTAGTCATGCATTCAGGAACTTCTGTATGTGTGGACTGCAAAAGCAAGCAGACTGCACTTCCAAGGAATATGGTGTTCCTTGTTGTGTTCTTCAGTTCTTTTTTCCTGTTGGTGTTCTGTAGATGTAACCTTCAGGAGTACCCCATTGTTTCTGCAGTGCTCAGTAAACAGTACTCACTTTCAGCAGTCGTTGGTGGCACTGGCAAGAGAGCCATTTGGAAACATGGGGAGTTTGGCAGGCTGAGTGGTGTTTGTTTTTGGAGACTGCCTTGGCATCATCCTAGGTGGAAGCAATGCCTGGGGTTTCTCACTGATTCATCCCTTTGGTGTGAATTCTGAAGAAACTGCATCTGACTTGAGGGATGGGCAGGAGGAACACCTAGGACTTCATTAAAGATGTGCTTCTTTGAAATTTCCTTTCTGAGAGATTATTCCACATCATTTGAATTTCTTCCTTTTTAATCGGAACAACTTTGACTGCTGGTGGAAATACTTAGAAACCGTTCTGGTATTTTTGGTACAATTAAAAAAATTTTACTCTTATGTAATTAATAGAATCTTAGGATTTTAGAGCTGGTAGGACCCATACAACTATGCCACTTGATGGGTAAAGCTCATCCATTAGAGGGGAAAGAACACAGGACCTCTTGACATCAAGGCCAGTGCCCTTCCTTGCTCATGTTGGCTAGAGAAGAGTATGTTAGCCAGAGAGCTGGTACATTTTATTACAAGCTAGCCTAAGACAGCTATTATTATTATTATTGACTATTTATCTGAAATGCTTTGGGCCAGAAGTATTTCAGATTTTAGTTTTTGGAATATTTGTACACACACATAATAAGATCTCTTGGGAATGGGATCCAAGACCTGAAAAAAAAACAATTCATTTATGTTTCATATACACCTTATGCACATAACCCGAAGGTTATTTTATACAGTATTTGTAGTGAGCCTGTTTCTTGACTGCTTCATGATATCAGGTGTGGAATCTTCCACTTATAGTGTCATGTCAATGCTCAAAAAGTTTTGGATTTTGCAACATTTTAGACTTTGGATTGCAGATTGGGAATGGTCTTCTTGCAGTACATAGTGTGCTTCTGCGGTTCCCTCTGAGCACACAATTTACTACTCCCTATAGTTACCAGTTTATCACCTAGAGTAGCAAGCAATTTAGGAGTCTCTGTGGCTTAACACAACAAAGATTTACCTTTTGCTCACATATTGTGTCCAATCTGGATTAGGTGGAAAGTGTCTTTGCTCTGTTCTGCACAGTAACTCATGGACTTTGGCTGATAGGAACCCCATCGTCTTACAGCCAGCCATTTAGCATAAGTGCCTTCCAGGTTGCCATGGCAAGACAAAGAACTCACACCCACTCTTCTCTGCATCTGCCCAGAAATGCTAAGTCATTTTGTGCACTGCCCATTGGTCAGAACTTGTCACATGACCAGACTGAGTTGCAAGGGATTTAGAAATATGGATAATGCGTGGAATATTTGAGCTTTACCAGGAGAAGTGAGGCAAGGTATTAACGCTAGTTAAAGCTGTAATTTGGAAAATTGTAGCTTCCCGTTTTTTAGGTCTACCAAGTTTTATGACTCTCCCAGTTTTTTAAGCGTCCATATTCATGAAGGCCATTGGGGCAGTGACCTTTCTGGTTAGCCTGGTGAGGACAGGGAAGCTACCGCCAACCACAGGGTCCATGAGCAGAGCAGCACACAATAGACCACGATAGAGGAATTGTGGGGCCAGCTGTGACGTCATTACCAGAAAGGATGTTAGATGATCTGGGCTGTGGCATGCATCCTCCTGGTTACTATGTGTGGTTAGCTGTCCCTCACCCCCCAAAAGATAAGAAGGACCTAATTCCCTGGAACTGGTGAGTGTTACTTTATATGGCAAAAGGAATTTTTAAAAATTTTATTTTATTTTAAAATTTGTTCTAATTAGTTATTCATGACTGTAGAATACATTTTGTCACATGGGACACAAATGGAGCACAACTTCTCCTTGGCTAAAGGAATTATATAGAGATGTGATTAATCTTCAGATGTTGGGGTTATCCTGGATTATCGTGGTAGGTAACTAGTGCCATCATAGCTTGTATCCTTAAAAGGAGGAGGTGGGGGAGATGTGACAGAGAAGAAGAGGAGGGGAAAGTGGGACCATGGTGACAAAGAGTGGAGTGATGTGGTCCCAAACCAAGGAATGCCTACAGCCACCAGAAGCTGGAAGAGGTGAAGAGTGAATTCCCAGAACCTCCAAAGAAGATATGGCGTAGCTGCCATCTTGATTTCAGTCCAGTGATACTGATTTTGTATTTCTGGACTCTACCTTCTGTAAGAAAGTAAATTTCTATTGTTTTAAACTGCCAAGATTGTAGGTATTTTTATTTAATAACAGCAACAGTGAACTAATTTACTTTGGTACATACAATAGCATTTTTCATCTGTAAGAGTGGCAGAGATCACCAAATTCAATAATACTTTACATTGGTGAGGTTGTGGGAAATAAAGTCTGACCTGTATTGTGGGTAGGAAGGCAGTTTAGTATATAACATCTGTGGGGGTAGTTTGGCAAGATCTATCAAAATTATCTCCTTCGACCAGGTACATTATTCAAAGTCTGGAATTTATGTATGAAATGATGTAAAAACAAGAATATTCATTGTACCATTGTTTTTGGTACCCAGAGATTAAAAACTACCTAACTGTTCATCCAGTGAGCCTGTTAAGTAAATCACAACACAAACATTCAATAGAATACTGTTATCATATTTAAGAAATGAGGAAACTCTTTATTCAATACTTAAGTGAAACAATCCCCCGTACCCTCCACACTCAATTTTATTATAATGCTGGAAGTATTTTTTTTACATTGTAGATGGACACAGTACCTTTATTTCATTTATTTGATTGTTTATTGATTTTCACATGGTGCTGAGGATCAAACCCAGTATCTCACACACGCTAGGCAAGTGCTCTACCACTGAGCTACAACCCCAGTCCCTGGAAGAATTCTTAAGAAACTTATAATGTGAATATGAATGTGAATATCTGTGCAAAAAAACAAGGAAAAGTTAATAAATAAACGAAGTTAAGTTTTATGGCACTGCAAAGCCCTGCGATAAGGAAACCTGGTTAGTTGTGTTTGTTCATTTCCACGAGTAACATCCAGTACAGTCTGGGTTCTGTAGAATGCACTAGAGTAATTCTTTTCAGTGTATTGCCATACCTAGACTTATTCTACTTATTCTGATTTTTTTTTTTCCGCTCTCTCTCTCTCTCCATTGGACTTCTGATGTTTAAGTCTAGGTAAGAAAGAATTATGTGGAAAAAATGAATGATGATATGCTAGTAATGATTTAATTTTCAATTAAAAAATTTTAATTAATTTACAATTGCTCCTGAATTACCTCTTTCTTCATGCCAGAGCTTCCTTACTGGCAGGCTGAGATTTGATTTCCTCAGGCTTAGAGCATCCAGGGTCAAGACCAGGGTGGCCAAAGCCCTCAGGATGGTGGTTTCTGCTTAAAGAATTCTACCCTTTGGCTCCAGTAGGCTGTGTAAATATTAATTATTTTCAATGTGTGCAGTGATGCGGAAAGGTTGGTAAATATGGCTCTAGGCAAAATGTGGACTTACATTTTTAAAACAGATGCTACATAAAAATAATTTAGGAAAAAAAAAAGTAGTTGTGGTCTTTGGGGAATTCCTGGTGGTGGTTTGCCCCAGTGTGGGAGTCCTCAGCCCTTTCCCACTGAGCTGAGCTGAGCACCGTGGGCAGACACGCCCCTGCTGAGGGTACTTGGGCACCTCCTGCACAAGACTATTGGAGGGAGAGGAAGAGGGGCGTTTTAGGACATGATCTTGAACTTGCTCTAATCTATCAAGAGAGAAGTAATCAAAAGACAGCGAGCATGTCCACTGTGGGTAGGAACAACGCCATTCTGACCTGCCTCATGACTGATACCGCAGTTAAGAACTGCTATCCCCGGAGAGTAAGTGACATTTTACGCTGTGGCCAGCTCAGTTTAATTTCAAGCCACCAAACGAGAGGTTTTTAGGTATTAAAGGCAAGTAAAAAAAAACCCATCATTTAAATGCTGTATTTACTTATAGCATTAATATAAATAAGAACTTTATCAAGTTCAGTTTTCATGAGAACCGTGCTGTTTGTCCTTCTGTTACGTCCTGGTGGGTCTGATGGTGTTGGTAATGCTGTCTGTTCTTCATGTTTTCTGGAAAAGTAACTGAATTAGTATGTCAGTGTAGTACTATCTGAAGAAATCCAAGAGCTATTAAAATGCTTAAAAATAAAATGATCAATTCCTCCTTTGTTCTCTCGACAGGATAATTGAAGCTATCTGCATAGGGTGGTTCACTGCAGAGTGCATCGTGAGGTTCATCGTCTCCAGAAACAAGTGTGAGTTTGTCAAGAGACCCCTGAACATCATTGACTTACTGGCAATCACGCCATATTACATCTCCGTGCTAATGACAGTATTTACAGGGGAGAACTCTCAGCTACAGAGGGCTGGAGTCACCTTGAGGGTGCTCAGAATGATGAGGATTTTTTGGGTGATTAAGCTTGCCCGTCACTTCATTGGTCTTCAGACACTTGGTTTGACTCTCAAGCGATGTTACCGAGAGATGGTTATGTTACTTGTCTTCATTTGTGTTGCCATGGCAATCTTTAGTGCACTTTCTCAGCTTCTTGAACATGGGTTGGACCTGGAAACATCCAACAAGGACTTTGCCAGCATCCCCGCTGCCTGCTGGTGGGTGATTATCTCTATGACTACAGTTGGCTATGGAGATATGTATCCTATCACAGTGCCTGGAAGAATTCTTGGAGGAGTTTGTGTTGTCAGTGGGATTGTTCTGTTGGCATTACCTATCACTTTCATCTATCATAGCTTTGTGCAGTGTTATCATGAGCTCAAGTTTAGATCAGCTAGATATAGTAGGAGCCTCTCTGCCGAGTTCCTGAATTAATGCATTGCAAATCAATTCTTGCATACGCTTGGTTTGATAGAAAGAGTTGACGCTGCTTCATATTTATGTGTTTCTTGCTGGGTGAGCACTGCAGGGGCATTGGCATCATCTTGGTAGGATAAAAATTATCCTTCCCAGCTGAAGGGATGAAACAGTTTACTTATTACGGAGTAAATAGGATTGAGGCTGCAAAGGAAGAGCAATGATCCTAGAGCAAACTTTAGGACTTTATTTGGTTTCAATTTGTCTCTTCCTTGCCTTGAACAATTACATAGTTCTGTTTTGTGTGTGTGTGTGTGTGTGTTTAAAGTACATTATTTGGACACTTTGAAACAGAAAGGTACTATTTTTCAAATGTTTTTCCATCTTAGTGAATTGTGAAGAAGCTTGGAACTTGTAGTGTTATTTTTTGAGACTAACATTTTCATTTCTAAATGTTTTATAATTTCTTGTATCAATGTCAGAAGTATCCTGGAAACATATGTCACATGCAAGAACTGTTTAACAAATACTTTAAAAATTTGGCCAAAATTTAAGCTGTATAATGGAGCTGGATACAAGTGTGAATATTATTTGAGAACCTTTTCCATATTTATCTATCCTCTGCTTTATTTTTATGCCTATTATTTACCTTATCGTATCGCTTCATGGAAGCTTGAGTATGTTTGCCCTTTTCTATTTTGGGTTTCTTTATCTCCTTACTGAAATGACTTTAAGAAAGTATTTAAGAATGAAGAGAGCTTGTATTGTTTAGCGTTTTGTTGGATAACATTAGAATTCATTGCTGTTACTAGGTTCAACATTCAGATGTCCAAACAAGAATATTCCCATCATAAAAATGATAATAGAAATAGTTGATATTATCAATATTATAACCCATATTTGTCATCTTCTGCTCTTAACTTCCCCCCAGACATCATGAGTTTAATGAGACTCACCAGATGAAAGTATGTTTACGTAGCCTTTTGATACCAAAGTCATACTTATGTGTTGTCACTAGATTATCATTAAAAAAGGAACATTACTGTACTCTTAGTTGCTGAGTAGCTAAGTCAGTTTTAAGCTAGCTAGAAGCAATGAATACATAATTATTTGACCTGATCTTCACCATTGTAAATCAGTTACGGTAAAACTCTTTTTTGTAAGACTATTGAGTAATATACCATATTAATCTGGCTAGATTTTTAGTACTAGATAATGTGCAAGGTGATTATTTAGTGCTAAATTTTAACAATATGAGCTAGAATTTTGCCTTTTCAACCAGTTGATAAAAAGAAGTCATTTAGAAACAAAAAATTAAAAGTCATAGATTTATGAATAATTTATTGTGCGCAGTATAATTATTGGGAGTGGAGGAGAGAAAGATTGGGAAGTGGTAGATAGAACAGAGAACCTAAGTGTATTTATAAAAAAAAGGGGGGGAGGGGGCACTTACCAGGAATGGTCATTAAAGCAACATTAGCCATCAGCTCCTTCAGACTTTTGACTATTATGGGTAGAAAACCAGGGCAAGAGAGGGAGCTGCAGCTAAAACCTGGATCTCCAAAACCAAAACCTAGCCCTGCAGTTTTGTTTATTTTTGTGTACTGGAACTGAACCTAGGAGCCCTCTACCCCTGAGCTATGCCCCAGTCCCTTTATGGTTTTTTTTTATTATTTTGAGACAGTGTTTCATTGAGTTGTTGGGGCAGGCCCTGAACCTGCAGTCCTGCCTCAGCCACAGGAATTCCACTGGAATTTCAGGTGTGCTGCCACTGCAATTAGCTGGGGTTTGACACCTGGTAGGTTCTGACAAAGCCTTGAGGAACCCCTTTCTTTTTCATTGTCATTGCTAATGTAATGATAGCAAAGCTGTCCCCCCACCCCACCCCACCCCCCGCCCAATTTTCTTTCCTGAGTTTAGCTGATATTTTAGGCCATTCAAAATCTCACTCCAGGGCTGGGGATGTAGCTAAGTGGTAGAGAGAGTTTGCCCAGCGTGTGCAAGGACCTGGGTTCAACCCCCAGTACTGGGGGGAAAAACCTCATTCCATCATTCTCTCTATTTCCCCCCCCCCTTATTTATATGTTGCTTTTTTCCATACTTAGTACATTCTGTTATTTATTGCATATTCATTGTATTTTTAAAATTTTTTAGTTGTAGATGGACACAATACCTTTATTTTATTTATCTAATTTTATATGGTGCTGAGGATCAAACCCAGGTCCTCACATGTACTAGGCAAGTGCTCAACCACTGAGCTATAACCCCAGCCCTATTCATATTTTAACATAATTGAAATATGTGGCATGGATTTTTAAGTTTATTTTTTACCAGTTTGGACTAAGGTGTTGTGATTCAAACAAATAATATGCAAATCATAGCACCTTCATAATACTAATAAAAATATGATTGCCTTCCATTTACTGGTACTGGGAACTTTTCATGTGAATATGCATTATCTCCCCCAAATAAATAACTTTCTTGAGGGCTAGGACCCTCTTTCTTACACCCACCTGCATTTCCCCTCAGTGTCCAGATTGGGGCACAAATTTTCAACTGATGTAGGGGTAGAAACTTCTGGCCTGAAAAGAGAAGGATACGTATATGCCAGTACACATACGTGTATAGCCACACATAGGCACACACATATGAACACTGTACACACACAGGCTTCAAGTTGCCCTTAAGTAACAAGTCAAAACTCTCTTGTTGATGATGTCAGACTTTACACAGGGCTGCTTTCCAGAAAGAAGCAAGTGGGCTAAATACTGATGGCAGTCCACTGCCCATTTATAAAGGAGGGTCTTTTTTTTTTTTTTTAAACTGGGGATTGAACCCAGGGGTGCTTTACCACTGAGCTACATCCTCAGTCCATTTTATTTTTATTTTGTTTTTTAAATTTTGAGGCAGGGTCTTGCTGTGTTCCTGAGGGTCTTGAGAAATTGCTGAGGCTGGCCTCAAACTGGTGATCCTCATGCCTCAGCCTTCCAAATTGCAGGGGTTACAGACATGCACCACCATACCTGGCTCAGAATTTGTTTTAATGGATGTTATAACATTTTCAGGAGCAGAGGCCTTTTCTTGTAACTTTTCCTGAATATTACTGCTTTAGGTTTTGTTTTTGTTTATTTTTGCAGCTCTGGAGAATCAAACCCAGCACCTCATTCATCTAGGCAAGCACTATACCAATAAGCTACACCCAGCCCTGAATTTTACTACTTTTAAAAAATGATTCTTACTTGTACTTTTAGATATTTCTCATAATTCAATCTTCATGTCAGGATTTTTTTTCATTAGGATTTACATCAGTACTAGTAAGTCAGATATTATCCTAAATTAGAATAACTAAAGAAAAAGGAGGAGGCCCAAATCTTTATTTTGATTTTACCACAAGTGAGCATACAAGACTTGATCTTTTTTTTGACGGGGGTGGGGGAGGCGTATGTTGTACTTGGAATCAAACACAGGGGAGCTCTATTGCTGAGATACTTTAAGCCCTTTTTATTTTTTATTTTGAGACAGGGTCTTGCTCCATTCTAAGATTGGCCTCAAACTTGTGCTCCTCCTGCTTCAGCCTCCTGAATTGCTGGGATTATAGGCATGTACCATTGCACCCAGCGATGACTTGATCTTATAAGTAACTTGGTTTGTATTCTCTAAAATGGGATTTTGGGGGGATTAGGAAAACAAAGGAAATATATGTGAAATGCAATATTATGAATATTAAACCTTAGATGAATAAGGTTTTGAAGTGTTATCATATTTCACTTTGACATATATACTGTGTTTTCTTTCTTTCCTTCTTTCTTTTTTGGTACCAGGTTTTGAACCCAGGGTGCTTAATTACTGAATCACATGCCCAGCTGTTGTTTTGTTTTGTTTCTTTTTTAATTTTGAGGCAGGGTCTCGAAAAATTGCTTAGAGCCTTACTAAATTGCTGAGGCTGGCTTTCTTAACTTGTGATCCTCCTGCCTCAGCCTCCCAAGCTGCTAGGATTACAGGTGCCTAGCTACTGTGTTTTCATTGTAAGTTGCTGGTTAAAACAGTGGCATTTTTTTTTTCTTGAGTTTGGTTGTTACTTCTAACCACACATTTGTAAATTCTTAAGTATGTTAAAGTATTATTTCACTGTGGCTGCCAGTAAGTCAAAATAATATTTCCTCTTTTAAACTTCTGTGAGATGCTTTTCCTGTCCTGTTATCTGGCAGAAATAGAGATGGATTAAGTTGAATGTTGGTGCTGGGAGAATTTTTCTTGTTGGCTTGATATTTTCTAGAAGCAGCTTATTTTTCTTCTTTTCTATAGAAATGAAAATAAAACTCTGAAAACTCCTAGTTCAGATTCACTCTTAAGCTTCGTAATGTCAAACTTAAAGCAGAGCTTCACAGAATATTTCCAGAGCCCTCTGACCCTCTATAAATGGGTGTTCTTTTTAGCATGCAATAAACAATCCAATCTATCAAACCTGGTTTAAATATGTTATAGGGTCATAGGAAGTTGGAACTAAAGGGATATTGGAGACCTGCTGGCCTCTCTTGCCCCAGTAGTGTACCCTGTGTCCCATGCAGATCATAGCAACCAGGGAGGTGGCTCCTATTGGGTTGTGATTGAGGCATGGTCACATGAGTGTTGGATTAGGCCTCAGAAACCTGATTTCCAGACTTTTTTTTCAGTCTTCTTTGGATATATACTTCCTTTTAAAAATAACATCAGAAAGGATGAAGGATTTCTTTTAAAAATATTTTCTGTGAGGCTTTAGAGCCACCCCCCACTTTAGTTCTAATTAAAAAATATGGCCTCTTCCTCCTCCTCCTCTTCCTCCCCCTCCTCCTC